CCAAAAAAAACTTTTCCAAGCCTAAAAACAAGCTTCGTCTTATTTGCCCGGTAGAAATATTCGCCGAGAAATACGGTAAATCATGAAAACGTAACGCAAGTAGCATAGATCCTTGCAATAAAAACTATGCATTGATTAAAAAAGTATTTCAAATTTGGGTTTCACAACAAACAATTTGATAAAAAGTTTTGGTTCATATGTAATGTTTAGATTTTATCTGGAAATTCTGTGGAATCAAACCTACCATCAATATTTGTTACATTCTGCACGACCTTCTCAGCATGAACTTCTTGAATCTGCTCTGCTCGAACTTCATCAATGTGAGAGTCAGTTATGTTTGTCTCTGTGAGAAAGAAATAATTTTTATATAAAATATTGAATTTTCAAATTTGAAATCGGAGCGTAAAAAAAATTCTGCTATTTTTACATTGTCCATTTGGTTAAAAAATTAAAATGAAGGCACATGATATTTGTTAACTGGAAACACCTAATTAAAAAACTTGGCGTAATAAAGTTCCTAATTCTTCAATCTCACAATACCATATCAGTGACAGAAGCAAATATCTGATGGAAGCAAAATAAAGTTAATTTAAGTTTTAGTTTTGGTTTTATAATGAACAATTTGCTAAAAACAAGTTTTGGTTAATATTTAATGTTTAGATTTATTCCACATGGAAATCCTGTTGAATCAAACCTACCATCAATGTTTGTTACACTCAGCACGACCTTATCAGCATGAACCTCATGAATCTGCTCAGCTCGAACTTCTTGGATCTGAGAGTGAGTTATGTTTGTCTCTGTAAAAATAATATAATGTGTATATGAAATATGTCGTCATCTGTATTGACGACATTTATAGTTCTCTAAGACCAAAATACCAAATCGGCTACAGATATAAATGGCTTGTTGGAAGATAAAGAAAGCCTTATATTATTAGTGAGTTAACGCGCTGTAACCAATGTTTACCGGTCACTCAACCACCATGGCTGTTCGATGGTTATCAACCAGAAAACATACGCGAAACATGTCACAAAATTAAAGAAAAAAGTTCACGTTACAAACTGGTTGATATATATAGGTAGTAAAATCCTTATACAATTCAATGATAGTTTTTGGTTTTTGTTGGATAATTCTGTTCGTCTTAGGTTAGGTTACTTAACCTGGGAAGGTTACATAGTTAAGTCCTTACCATCAAACTTATGTGCTTATTCTGGGCAAGTTAGATAAAGTAAAATCCTCACCATCAAACTTATGTGCTTATCCTGGGAAAGTTAGATAAGTCAAGTCCACACAATCAAACTTATGTGGTTGGCCCCATCATCAAACTTATGTGCTTATCCAGTTGCAGTTGGATAAGGTATTAAGACCTCACATCGACCTCTCACAAGCCGTTGCATAAAAAATTTCCGATTCCGATTTTGAACGGCAGACTTGCGATTTTCCTGACACGTCTTATTGGGGGGCTATATGCACGAGTCCGCAAAAGCGCAAAAATATGTATCAAAACTAAATATAACTGGGCAATTTATCTCATACTATTATTTCCGCAGATTGCTGTGTTATTTTAGATTAGTAATGCATTTATTTGCTCGTGAGTCGACGCAATCGCGAGTTACGTGGGAAAAAATTAAATGAAAATTGAAAGACAGTTAAGATTACCGTAGTTGTCATGGATTGAATTTTACGCGACCAAAAAGTCACTATGGGCTATTTCAAAGAATGCGCAAACGCTGCGACTGCTCATGGGCAGTTGTATGGAAATTTCCAAATCCGATTTTGAACCGCAGACTTGCGATTTTACTGCCCCGTCTTAATGAGGGGCTATATGCAAAAACCTCCTTTTTGCAGGCTTAAAAACAAGACTCGTCTAATTTGCCGGGTAGACTTATTCGCTGAGAAATACGGTAAATCATCAAAACATAACGCAAGTAGCAGAGATCCTTGCGCTAAAAACCATGCATTGATTTAAAAAGTATTTCAAATTTGCGTTTTACAACAAACAATTTGATAAAAAAGTTTTGGTTCATATGTAAGGTTTAGATTTTTTCAACTCTGGAAATTCTGTGCAATCAAACTTACTATCAATATTCGTTACATTCTGCACGACCTTTTCTGCATGAACTTCATAAATCTGCTCTGATCGAATTTCTTGAATGTAAGAGTCTGTTATGTTCGTCTCTGTAAGAAAGAAATAATTTGTATAAAAAATATCGCTATTTCAAATTGCGCATTGATTTTAAAAGATGGCAATATTGCATGAAAAAGAAAATTGGAGGTGGGATTTGCTAATCAGAAAACATAGATTTTAAAATTGGGCATTTGAGAACATTGATAATTCCTAGAGGGCCATAATAAAAGACGGTATAAAAATATGAACATTAAAATATTGATGCTCATTACCGTACATTACCAACGAGTATGATTATGATTAATTAGAAATTTCCATTCATTGGTTTGTAAATGTAGCAAAAAATAATTAAAACTTTTATTCCCAGTCAGTCAGTACACCCCTTTACTGTTGTTCCTGCGCATATTCGCCAATCATGGATCATACGTACCGAGTTAACTCTGAGCATTCTCGCCACACATAATTACAAGCTGCTAGTGTACCGTTACCCCCGCGTACACTCGGCGTAGTCTGGCAAATCAATAACCACGTCGTTGCCGTTCTGTGGGCGACTGTTCGTACTACTGACCCAGAGGTGGATGGGGCAACGTGGTGCGGCGGGCAACCCCAAAATGAAAATGGCCAGTCGAAAGCCTGGTTTGACAAGAGAAGAAATAAATCGTTCATCGTATTTCACTTGATGGCGGCAAAGGTGCATCTACGAGACACTACAAGGTCTGCTGTACACACTGTGTTAAGAGTTCCGAGAAATTGCATAAAAAAAAACATATACTATTTTGCAGAGTGGGATGTGTCTTTGTGTATTGTACCCTGTATTGAGGCATATCACCAAAAAGAACTACTAATGGTAGGTACTAGGTACTGAAATGGTGGAAAACATTGATGATCTAGTGTAAAAATTTGGTGCAAGTTAGTGCACACAGTGTTTCAGATTCATTTTAATGACGTAAATGATGCTAAATATCCAATACAGCTATAATTTTATCGAATGGGACATTAGGTACAATTTGAAAATTTTAATTGCCGCTGGGGAGCGTTCTAAAAAATATTATTAAGCGGTAAAGGAGTTGAGCAAATTTTGAAAAATATAACATCATAAAACTCTCTAAAAACACAAATATTTAATGAGCTTGAGATTAATGGTGTGGCAACACATTCCAAACTACCATACAGACATGATTCATGTTAAATTTATGAAAGTGGCAAAGTGCCCTGCAATAAGAAGCAGGCATTGATTAGGTTTTTGTTTTATATTACACACCTATGGAATCGAACCTACCATCAATGTTTGTTACATTCTGCACGACCTTCTCAGCATGGACTTCATGATTCTGTTCAGCTCGAACTTTTTGAATCTGAGAGTCAGTTATGCTTGTCTCTGTAAAAAAGAAATAATTTCTCCAAGAATTTTTTTTTTTTTCAAATCGGGTATTAGTGCATAAACTCGAAAATTGTTTCATCTGTTTAGTTAAATATCAAAATAATGTTTGTGATATTTGTTAATTTAAAGCATCTGAAGAAGTAACTTATGGGGCAAGAATTTATAGTTCTTGAAGCTCCCAATACCAAATAAGTCAGAGATGTGAATAGAATATTGTAAGCGAAAGAAAGCGTTAGATTATTAGTGAGTTGATGTGTTGAATCCAATTTTTTATTGGACACTCATCCTTCAATACCCATCCACCATAGCTGTTTCCTTTATTTATTTTTGATGAGAAAATACTCGTATGGAAACCCAGCTTTTATTTATACTCAAAAATGAGATAATCAGATTTGAAATAACCAAATTGGATAATTAATGGTGGGGCAATTCCAGGACAGTTTCCAAATATTGGCACTCAATTTACTATATTATCATTGGTATTTACTATATTATCATAGTATTTGTACCAGGTTAGGGTTAGGCCATAATATTATTTCAATTTTCTTTATCTTAGTTCTATTACTAGTTTAGGGACTAGCCAAGTGACTTTCGTAGTATTTGTACCTGAAATTATGGGCTAACCCTAACCTGGTACACATACTACGTCCCGGTGTCCGCCATCTTAGTTCACATACTTTGGGAGTACCTAATTGACTATGAATTTCTTCAATTGAAAAATTTTACTCGATTGCTATAGAATTTAAAGAATGAAAAATATTAGATACTTAAATTCTCACTCTGAGTCAGTTCATAACTTTGAGCATTTTTGAAAAATAAAGCATCATAAAGCTCTTAGAAGACACAAACATTCAATGTGCTGAAGCTGCATTTCATGGCAAAATGTCAATTATTCCAAACTACCAATAGGGCTGGGCATTTTCAAATCCTTGATGATTGCAGAATCGAATCAGAATTTTTTTTTCGAATCGAATCTCGAATACTTGGGAGGTATAAAATTGTATGTAACTTTCTTATTGTATTAGGTTCTCCAGATACATTAAATAATGAAAAATAGAATACAATACTCAGGCAGATTGCTGAGCATTCACACACAATAAAAACACGTTTTCATCAATAACTCACTACAAAAAAGAGTCAAAAGTGAGAATTGCATTGAAAAAAGATGGCTTCGATAAAAAAAATTGAGAAATTTAACTCGACCATTGGCGCAAAGAAAAAAAAACAAGATGGCTGCAAATGGAAATTTTGCTCCGAACCGATTCGAATAATTAACTATTCGATTCTTATTGCCCAGCCCTAACTACCAAATAAATGTGAATGTTGATAACATTACATAAGTGACATAGTGACCTGCAAAAAAAACCAAGCATTCATTTAAAGTGTGATTCAAATTTATGTTTTATATCAAACAATTGGCTGAAAAGATTTGGAGTAATAGTTTTACTTAAGAATTTTTCTACTCTGGAAATCTTGGGGAATCAAACCTACCATCAATGTTTGTTACATTCTGCTCGACCTTCTCAGCATGAACTTCATGAATCTGCTCAGCTGGAACTTCTTGAATGTGAGAGTCAGTTATGTTCGTCTCTGTAAAAAATAAATATTTGTATAAGAAATATTGGTATTTCAAATTCAGCATTAGCTTTAAATGGATAGTAATGTTGCACGAAAAAGAAAATCGAAAGGGGGTTGCTAACCAGACAACATACACACAAAAATGTCACAGTCTTGACAGTAACTACTTGGTGGTGAGGGCTCTAAGGCCCTCTCTCTCTCTACTAAGGCTCTATACAAAAACAAGTATGTAAATAGCTACTATGTGAATTGGAAAAGCCAGAACCTTCGCCACTCAGCTTTCTCTTATACCCTGAGAAAAGTAGTGGTGACAGAAAAATATTTGAAATTAAATTTTTTATAATATAATTGAGTTAGTATTTGACCAATTGAAGTTCATTGGATTGATTGAAAAATAAAAACCCTTTTTTAATTTAATGTTGATTCTTTATTTCTGTTTATTAAATAAATCTGATTACCCAAGGTTGGGTTAGGTTATTTCCCACCACTAAGATGTGTCAGATTATTTCAGGTTAAAGCAAGTGAGCTAAGTTAATGCCCCAATGAAGCATTTGCTGGACATGCTGATCTTTATTTTTACAATTTGGACGCCCAAAATTCATTCGATGTAAAAAGAAACAAGACGTGTTCGTAAAGAATTAAGATTGTTGCAATACGGTAATGCTGAAACGGACAGTAATCCGTTAATCGACATCAATATAATACGCAAGTTGTAAGGAAAACGCGAAAAGCATGCAACACTCTCCGTCGTCGAACCCTCTGTGATGACTGTTTTGAATGTCTATCGCGTCTGTGTGTGCGTCGTGCAAATGTTAAACATCATGCGCGAGAGATCTCTGCGTGTGCGCGTCGCAAAACAAAATTTTGCTCTTCGACTTATAACACATACGGTTTTGGATATTGTGTACTGAATGAACTGCAAGCCCTTTTTCTTGTTCACTCCATGTTTCGGATCGGTATGTGTCCGTTGCCACTGGGATGCTTGAACGAAATAGTATTATAAAGATAAATACGAATAGCATAAGAATAGACTATGATCTAACGAAAGCTTACATATATACTTGTTATTCCTTGTAAAAAGATTATGCTATTCCGATTTATAATAATTAATAAAGAAAATACTCGAAATTCGGAAATTGCCGCACTCTATCGAAGACTCATAAACCGAACCCTGTTATCGAATCCTTTTGAATTCCAATACTTTGGGATTCTGAATTGTTCAACCCTACTATTTACGCATCCATGGAAGGTTAATAATAACTATCAAAATAAAATACACGCGAGATGTTCGTTAAATGAAACCACTTCAGCTAACTTCATGGAACGAAAATACCTAATTGCGTTAATGAATACACGATATCTGTCACATGAATATAATGTGTGCTATGATTATTGGCTAAGCAGTCGTATGTGTCAATACTAAATGGATATAATTCCTAATTACATTCCGAATAACCAAAGTTCATTGAGCAAATCTCTGACTCTTAACATTCTGCTTCTTCGTAATGTACGTTCAGTCGTTCACCTCTACAAGCTCAGGACAAACACTAATCAGTTCAAATTATGTGATCGGTCTCATAATACTCATGTTAACATGCATAGTGAAATGAATGTTCTTTAAAAAAATGAATATTTTGTTTCTCCGTGAGAATTATTTTAACACTAAAAACTCGACCCACTTAACCGCTCAAAATTCAATCAAAAAATCTGACTGAAAGCAGTTTAAATCAGAGCAAATGCAGAGACTAACTCAAAGGCAAGCAAACTCAGCAAAGGGTTACAGCTTTACGTGAGCTATTAAATTGAAAGCAGATGCACGACATTATATGAGCGAGAAAATATGCCATTTCGCAGATATTGCAACCCTACCGCTATAGTTCCCTCCAATCACGGAGACGTATCGAAACCAAAAATAATTTTCTTGAGATTGACATATAATAATGTCGATTTTATCTGGTTCCGACGGTTACGAAAGCTTAGCCGTGATAAAAATCCGAAGACCGTAGACTGAAAATCGACCTCATAAGGAAAGCGGCTTTCTTCTATGTATCATGGCCACAAAGCATGGAAAGAAATATAGAAACGAGCTTCCTAAAATAGATTAACAGCTACTTGCCACACCGCTTTGCAAGAAAAAACGAAATAAGATTTACGCGGAAGAGCGCGCAGTGTTGTTTTGTTACACATTCTGAAACGTGTTTTTCTATGTTTCCATCATGACGTCACGGACTCGAAACATTCGACTCGATGATTGCACCTATCCCTCGAATTTGCCGAATCCGGCAAATATAGAGGACTTGTGCTAGTCATTAGTGAATTTTCTAAGGTGTGATCGATAGCGCGATTAAAATAAAATTTATTTAACAAGACTCGTGATTATAACCTTTGTGTGTTTTTAGTGATACTATCATATAGTCTTGACTATTATTCTATTGGGTTCTATAAAGTACATATCATAGGCGTATTTTAGTGCAGGGGTGTGCAAGATACTAATAACTGGTTGAAAGTGCGGGACGCACCTTTATTTAACAATTAACATAGGTTTGCTAGTAGTTGCAGGCTCAAAAATTTTAGTTTTTGATCGTATGGCATACGTAGTTCGTTTTGCACAAGCTGTTGAAGCGCGAAGGCATTGGAATCATTCGCGCATACTAGATTAACTAAATTGAAGAAAACTAGTTTCAAAGGCAAGTCATTCAAAATTGTCACTTCTCCGAGGACCGCACAAATTTTTTGGGGGACCGCATTTCTCCCGCGGTCCACCGGTTGCACACCTCTATTTTAGTGAATAAACAAAATGGTGTAGACTAGAAATCGAATTAGAGTTTCAAAAGTGACGACTCAATTCCGGTTTAGATTCCAAATTTCGTCCCTTCTTCTGAGTCGCTGATCACGATATTTTGATTGCATCGACTGGAATTGGGATTGATATTGGGCCTTGTTTGTGTTGACACTGATTTATTTGTGAAACATTTACGAATGCTCTCACATATTGAACGCTAAAAATTTCATCTAAAATTCAAGATATCTCACCCGTAATACTTGGAATCGATGATTGATCTTGACACTGATCCGCCATTTAAATCCTTATTTGTCATCAGATTATAGAATTATAACTGTGAAAAAAGATTGTTACATTTCTGATTATCATAGAATAAGAGAGATTGTAATTGGACGGGCACTTGAGTTTTGCCATAAAATATCCAACCTAAATTACATCATTAATTTCATTTAGTTACGTTTGCACCCAAACGGTTCCTAACCTTGCTGCCACATTTTCGTAAATCGATATTTCAAAAACTAAAATGACATACACCAACCATCTTGCCTCTTGCATTCTGACAACCTAATATAGGTTTTGTGCTAGACGTTTTTTTAAGCTTTCACCTTCAACCCCTAATTCCTAACCCATGCCGAACGAACCCAAACCTCGGAGATTGTTACTACGCAAGTTAACCCAACATTTGTCTATTCCACAGCCTGCTATAGCCTGAAGTAAGCTCGGGCGTTGTCCTCGCTATGACGTAGGAAATGACTCAACTTATATGAGGAAATAGAGTTGAGATATGACGGAAGCCAAGATTTCTATGAAAACCGATAACATGTATGGTTACCATGGAAATCTTAACGCAGCGCGTTAACAAATTGCTTTATGTGCAAGAGGATTGCTGGACTCCTCGCGCCACCGTAGTGCAATAGTGTAGTTCACAAAACCGCTGGTCTGTTACTGCTTCCTACACCATCACGTCCAAGCATCTAAAACAGATAACTGGTTAACTATTCGCGTACCCGACATGGAATGGTAACGTGACGTGAGGCCGTCGTTCGCCCTATGACTAAACCGTTTTATCGGCTTCCCTCCCCCAGGGATAAATATGTAAATCCTATCATATCCTAAAAGCCATTGCTAGAATTGCAGACTGCTTTAAATACCTGAATTAGATAAGAAGGACAGTTGAAAGCGTTGTCGTGGCCCCTTTATACTAGGGATTACCACAAGGCGGTACTTGAGACACTTACGATAGCGTTATGCTATAATAGAGGGACAATAAGCCGGTTGCTGCAAAAGTTCATTATATCACTAGACATGGCGCAAAAACGACAGCCACGGGGGATCCAAAGAAAACTGATCTGACTCCAAAAATTTGAAAGCGATTATTCACATACAGATACATGGTAAAGTGATATTTATCTCAACAGCGTAAAGGTATTAATAACATGATAACGATCCATAGACACAGTCCTGCAATTAAAATGCAAATATTCACGATTGCAAACGTCTCTAAGACATCGGAAATTTCAAGTTACGTCAAAAAGTAATTCCAGATCTCTCGTTTTCGTAAACAGATATATGAAACTCTGAAAGTATATTTTGAACAATTCTGCAGTATAGGTTCATTTAATCTCAATTTTTGCCACCACAAACTTTAGACATTTCAACGAGGTTTTGTCGAAACTTACGTCCAAATTCGCCTTTAATCTGCTATAACCTGCCACGCTAACAGTTCGACCGTCATTCCCAAACTAACTATTCAACTCACGAAACATCTGAAACAGAAAAACTATCTCCAACCGCTGACGAAATTCCCACTGTTCGCTACTATACACGATCGTTGCCATCAATCATGCTGTACTGCGCCCGAACGGATATTATCGGCGAAGTAAAGAAATCTGATACTATTATTGAATACGCACTATTGGTCGAATTATACGCAATTAAACACGGCCATGTAGCCGACAACAGGGATTCACACGCAATGCTATAACAATCACACATGGCCAGTGTTGAAGTTTTTCCAAAGTTTATCAACCCGTTGACTGTAAAGTAAATTACCAATCACAGTCCTGACCTATGAGTGGAAAAACATTTTGACAACATAGTTGTATTATTTAGGTCCAAGCCGGACCGACCGTTAATGACTGGCGTTACGAAAATGAGAAGTATGGTTTTGCCTTTCCAGTCATTATCTCGGATTATAATAAATATTGTAATTTCCTCGCAAAAACATATACAGAACATCAGCGAACACACAAAATAAGTTAAAACGGTAGAACATCAAAAAGTTTGGTTTTAAGTAGAAGTACGTGTGACAGTTTACCTAAATAACAGATTCAAACATATATCACCAAACGCAGCATACATAGAACAGTCAACCATTGCAACACGGGGTTTTCGTTTGTATAAAAGGAAACCCTCACGCTCGACAGTCTTTTTTACCTCTGAGTGAGTGTCCGTAACTTTGACAAGAGATGAGTCTCCTTTACTTCGGTGTGAGTGCCCATAACTTTGCTCAGAGATGAGTCTCCTTTACTTACGAATGAGTGCCCGTAACTTTTCTCAGAAATGAGTTTTTTTCACTTCTGAGTGAGTACCCGTAACTTTGCTCAGAGAGAAGTTTTTTCACCTCTGAGCGAGTGCCCATAACTTTGCCAAAGATAAATCTCCTTTACTCACGAGTGAGTGCTCTCAACGTTTCTCAGAGATGAGTTTTGCTTACTTCTGAGTGAGTGCCCATAATTTTGCTCAGAGATGAGTCTCCTTTACTTCTAAGTGAGTGCCCTTAACGTTTCTCGGAGATGAGTTTTTTTACTTCTGAATGATTGCCTGTAACTTTGCTCAGAGACGAGTCTTCTTTACTTCTAAGTGAGTGCCCTGAACGTTTCTCAGAGATGAGTTTTTTTTACTTCTGAGTGATTGCCTGTAATTTTGCTCAGAGATGAGTCTCATTTACTTCACGTGCCCTTAACGTTTCTCAAAGATGAGTTTTTTTAATTCTGAGTGATTGCCTGTAACTTTTCTCAGAGATGAGTCTTCTTTACTTCTGAGTGAGTGCCCACAACTTTGCACAGAGATGAGTCTCCTTTACTTACGAGTGAGTGCCCTTAACGTTTCTCAGAAATGAGTTTTTTTCACTTCTGAGTGAGTGCCCGTAACTTTGCTCAGAGATAAGTCTTTTTCACCTCTGAGTGAGTGCCCATAACTTTGCCCAAAGATAAATCTCCTTTACTCACGAGTGAGTGCTCTTAACGTTTCTCAGAGATGAGTTTTGTTTTACTTCTGAGTGAGTGCCCATAATTTTGCTCAGAGATGAGTCTCCTTTACTTCTAAGTGAGTGCCCTTAACGTTTCTCGGAGATGAGTTTTTTTTACTTCTGAATGATTGCCTGTAACTTTGCTCAGAGATGAGTCTTCTTTACTTCTAAGTGAGTGCCCTGAACGTTTCTCAGAGATGAGTTTTTTTTACTTCTGAGTGATTGCCTGTAACTTTGCTCAGAGATGAGTCTCATTTACTTCACGTGCCCTTAACGTTTCTCAAAGATGAGTTTTTTTAATTCTGAGTGATTGCCTGTAACTTTTCTCAGAGATGAGTCTTCTTTACTTCTGAGTGAGTGCCCACAACTTTGCACAGAGATGAGTCTCCTTTACTTACGAGAGAGTGCCCTTAACGTTTCTCAGAAATGAGTTTTTTTCACTTCTGAGTGAGTGCCCGTAACTTTGCTCAGAGATAAGTCTTTTTCACCTCTGAGTGAGTGCCCTTAACGTTTCTCAGAGATGAGTCTTCTTCATTTCTGAGCAATTGGTCATAACTTCGATTAAAGATGTGTCTTCTTTACTTCTAAGGGAGTGCCAGTAACTTTGCTCAAAGATGACTCTTCTTTACTTCTGAATGAGTGCCCGTAACTTCACTAAGAGATGAGTCTTCTTTACTTCGGAGTGAGTGCCCTTAACGTTTCTCAGAGATGAGTTTTTTTTTACTTCTGAGTGATTGCCTGTAACTTTGCTCAGAGATGAGTCTCATTTACTTCTAAGTGAGTGCCCTTAACGTTTCTCAAAGATGAGTTTTTTTAATTCTGTGTGATTGCCTGTAACTTTTCTCTGAAATGAGTCTTCTTTACTTCTGAGTGAGTGCCCATAACTTTGCTCAGAGATGAGTTTCCTTCACTTCTGAGTGAGTGCCCACAACTTTGCACAGATATGAGTTTCCTTTGCTTCTGAGTGAGTGCCCATAACTTTGCTCAGAGATGAGTTTCCTTTACTTCTGAGTGAGTGCCCACAACTTTGCACAGAGATGAGTTTCCTTTACTTCTGAGTGAGTGCCCATAACTTTGCTCAGAGATGAGTTTCCTTTACTTCTGAGTGAGTGCCCATAACTTTGCTCAGAGATGAGTTTCCTTTACTTCTGAGTGAGTGCCCATAACTTTGCTCAGAGATGAGTTTCCTTTACTTCTGAGTGAGTGCCCACAACTTTGCTCAAAGATGAGTCTTCTTTACTTCTGAATGAGTGCCCGTAACTTCACTAAGAGATGAGTCTTCTTTACTTCGGAGTGAGTGCCCTTAACGTTTCTCAGAGATGAGTTTTTTTTTACTTCTGAGTGATTGCCTGTAACTTTGCTCAGAGATGAGTCTCATTTACTTCTAAGTGAGTGCCCTTAACGTTTCTCAAAGATGAGTTTTTTTAATTCTGTGTGATTGCCTGTAACTTTTCTCAGAGATGAGTCTTCTTTACTTCTGAGGGAGTGCCCATAACTTTGCTCAGAGATGAGTTTCCTTTACTTCTGAGTGAGTGCCCACAACTTTGCACAGAGATGAGTTTCCTTTACTTCTGAGTGAGTGCCCGTAACTTTGCTCAGAGATGAGTTTCCTTTACTTCTGAGTGAGTGCCCATAACTTTGCTCAGAGATGAGTTTCCATTACTTCTGAGTGAGTGCCCACAACTTTGCTCAAAGATGAGTCTTCTTTACTTCTGAATGAGTGCCCGTAACTTCACTAAGAGATGAGTCTTCTTTACTTCGGAGTGAGTGCCCTTAACGTTTCTCAGAGATGAGTTTTTTTTTACTTCTGAGTGATTGCCTGTAACTTTGCACAGAGATGAGTCTCATTTACTTCTAAGTGAGTGCCCTTAACGTTTCTCAAAGATGAGTTTTTTTAATTCTGAGTGATTGCCTGTAACTCTTCTCAGAGATGAGTCTTCTTTACTTCTGAGTGAGTGCCCATAACTTTGCTCAAAGATGAGTCTCCTTTACTCACGAGTGAGTGCCCTTAACGTTTCTCAGAGATGAGTTTTTTTACTTCTGAGTTATTGCCTGTAA